CCTGTTTGGTGTGTATCTCCTACCATATCATTATAATTTGCTTTTAAATATAAATCAGAAATAACCAACTTAAAATGGAAATTTTTAAAAGAAAAAAAAAAGGAAAAAAAAAAAAAAATCCCCCCCCCCCTTATGATTCATCACCCCCAAACTCAATCCCAGCCTTCCCTTTGTGGTATGGTACCTTGCAGTACAATTTCAGAGAGATCCATACACTTGAACACGAGTTATTGTCTGGAAACTAGAAAAATGCTTATTTTTGGCCCCTTTTTGGCCCCTTATTCCTAAACGTTTCGGGCAATTACCCCCAAACTTAATTCCAGCTTTCCCTTTGTGATATGGAACCTTGTAGTACAATTTCAGAAAGATCCATACACTTACACACAAGTTATTGTCATGAAACTAGAAAAATGCTTGTTTTTTGCCCCTTTTTTGGCCCCTAATTCCTAATATTTTGAGGCAATTACCCCCAAAATCAATCCCAGCATTCCCTTTGTGATATGGAACCTTGTGGTACAATGTCAGAGAGATCCATACACTAACACACAAGTTATGTCTGGAAGTTACAAAAATGCTTATTTTTGGCCCCTTTTTGGCCCCTAATTCCTTAACTGATGGTACCATAACCCCCAAAATCAATCCCAACCTTCCTTTTGTGGTATTGAACCTTATGGTAAAATTTCATAAAGATCCATTCACTTAAACTAAAGTTAGAGTGCGAAAACCAATGTGTCTTCGGACAACGCTGGACGACGATGACGACGCCAACGTCATACCAATATACGACCGCAAAAATTTTTGCGGTCGTATAAAAAGGTTTCGTGAAATTCTGTTGTGTGGTTTGAGAGGAGTTGCGATGACAAGAAACAGGACTGACGGACGGACAGACAGACAGACGGACGGACAGACGGACAGACAGACGGACGGGTCAAAAACATTATACCCTCCGCAACTCGTTGCGTGGAGTATAATTACCTCCAAAATCAATCCCAGCATTCCTTTTGTGATATGGAACCTTGTGGTACAATGTCAGAAAGGTCCATACACTAACACACAAGTTATGTCTAGAAGTTACAAAAATGCTTATTTTTGGCCCCTTTTTGGCCCCTAATTCCCTTACTCTTGGCACCATAACCCCCAAAATCAATCCCAACCTTCCTTTTGTGGTATTGAACCTTGTGGTAAAATTTGATAGAGATCCATTCACTTAAACTAAAGTTAGAGTGCGAAAACCAATGTGTCTTCGGACGACGCCAGACAACGACGACGACGACGCCAACGTCATACCAATATACGACCACAAAAATTTTTTTTGCGGTCGCATAAAAAATTGTTAAAATTGACTATTAAGGGCAATAACTCCTAAAGGGGTAGACTGACAATTTTGGTCATGACAACTTATTTGTGGATCTTACTTTGCTGAACATTATTGCTGTTTACAGTTTACCTCTATCTATAATAATATTCAAGATAATAACCAATAAAATGCTTCGCTGGGCGCAGCTTGATACGACCGCAGAGGTCGAACCCTGAACAGTTGGGGCAAGTATGGACACAACATTCAAGCTTGATACAGCTCTGAATTTGGATTGTGATTAAATATTTGACACAGCATAGGTTTCTGACACAGAAAGAATGTGGTCTAAGAACTTCAATTTTTTTAATTTACCTATTATGGTCCAATGTCCAAAATCAAAATACATGGTTAGATTCAGCATATCAAAGAACCCCATATATTCAATTTTTGTTGAAATCAAACAAAGTTTAATTTTGGACCCCAACTTGGACAAACTTGAAAACTGGTCCCATAATCAAAAATCTAAACACATGTTTAGATTCAGCATATCAAAGTACCCAAAGAATTCAATTTTTGTTAAAATCAAACTAAGTTTAATTTTGGACCCTTTGGACCTTAATGTAGACAAATTTAAAAAACGGGACCCTAAATTAAAAATCTAAAAACACAGTTAGATTTGGCATATCAAAGAACCCCAATAATTCAATTTTTGATGAAATCAAACAAAGTTTAATTTTGGACCCTTTTGACCTCAATATGAACCAATTTGATAGCGGGCCCACAAATAAAAAATCTGAATACATGGTAAGATTCAGCATATCAAAGAACCCCATATATTCAATTTTTGTTGAAATCAAACGAAGTTTAATTTTGGACCCCAATTTGGACCAACTTGAAAACTGGGCCAAAAATCTAAAATCTAAATACATGTTTAGATTCAGCATATCAAAGAACCCCATATATTCAATTTTTGTTGAAATCAAACAAAGTTTAATTTTGGACCCTTTGGACCTCAATGTGGACCAATTTAAAAACGGGGCCCAAAATCCAAAAACTTAATACACGGTTAGATTCAGCATATTAAAGAACCCCAAGAATTCAAGAATAAAACCCCATTGAAATTGATCAAGAAATAAGCAATTTATACGAAGTATCTTCTTTTGCACAATACTGTGCAATTGAATATTTCTTGCTATTGCGCAATACTGTACAATTGACAATTTCTTGCTATTGCGCAATATTGTGCTATTGGATATTTCTTGCTATTGCGCAATACTGTTAAATTGAAGATTTCTTGCTATTGCGCAATACTGTGCAATTGAAGATTTCTTGCTATTGTGCAATACTGTGCAATTGAAAATTTCTTGCTATTGCACAATACTTATTATATAATAATTTACACATCCTGTTTGGTGTGTATCTCCTACCATATCATTATTATTTGCTTTTAAATATAAATCAGAAATAACCAACTTAAAATGGAAAATTTTAAAAGAAAAAAAAAAGGAAAAAAAGAAAAAAAAAAAAAAAAAAAATCCCCCCCCCAATTTTTTGAACCCCCTTATGATTCATCACCCCCAAACTCAATCCCAGCCTTCCCTTTGTGGTATGGTACCTTGCAGTACAATTTCAGAGAGATCCATACACTTGAACACAAGTTATTGTCTGGAAACTAGAAAAATGCTTATTTTTGGCCCCTTTTTGGCCCCCAATTCCTAAACGTTTCGGGCAATTACCCCCAAACTCAATTCCAGCTTTCCCTTTGTGATATGGAACCTTGTAGTACAATTTCAGAAATATCCAAACACTTACACACAAGTTATTGTCATGAAACTAGAAAAATGCTTGTTTTTTGCCCCTTTTTTGGCCCCTAATTCCTAAAATTTTGAGGCAATTACCCCCAAAATCAATTACAGCCTTCCCTTTGTGATATGGAACCTTGTGGTACATGTCAGAGAGATCCATACACTTACACACAAGTTATTGTCTGAAAGTTACAAAAATGCTTATTTTTGGCCCCTTTTTGGCCCCTAATTCCTTAACTGTTGGTACCATAACCCCCAAAATCAATCCCAACCTTCCTTTTGTGGTATTGAACCTTATGGTGAAATTTCATGGAGATCCATTCACTTAAACTAAAGTTAGAGTGCGAAAACCAATGTGTCTTCGGACGACGCCGGACGACGCCGGACGACGACGACGACGACGACAACGACGACGACGACGACGACGACGACGCCAACGTCATACCAATATACGACCAAAAAATTTTTAATTTTTGCGGTCGTATAAAAACTGCAAAATTTCCTTAAAATTACCAATTCAGGGGCAGCAACCCGACAACAGGTTGTCAGATTTGTCTGAAAATAGATCTTGACCTGATAATCAGTTTTACCCAAGTCAGATTTACTCTAAATGCTTTGGTTTCAGAGATATAAGCCAAGATCTACATTTTACCCGTATGTTCTATTTTTAGCCATGGCGGCCATCTTGGTTGGTTAGCGGGGTCATCGGACACATTTTTTAAACTAGATACCCTAATGATGTTTGTGGCCAAGTTTGGTTAAATTTGGCCCAGTGGTTTCAGAGGAGAAGATTTTTGTAAAAAGCTAACGACAACGGACGACGACAAACGACGGACGCGAAGTGATGAGAAAAGCTCACCTGGCCCTTCGGGCCAGGTGAGCTAAAAAAAATTTTTAGCCATGGCGGCCATCTTGGTTGGTTAGCGGGGTCATCGGACACATTTTTTAAACTAGATACCCTAATGATGTTTGTGGCCAAGTTTGGTTAAATTTGGCCCAGTGGTTTCAGAGGAGAAGATTTTTGTAAAAAGCTAACGACAATGGACGACGACGACGACGACAAACGACGGACGCGAAGTGATGAGAAAAGCTCACCTGGCCCTTTGGGCCAGGTGAGCTAAAAAAATGACAAAGTTCAACTATCTCCCAAAAGATCAAATATTGATAAAAATCAAATCCCTGACCACATGCACACCTTCAGTATATGTACAAACAGCCAGCAAAGTGAAAACTTCCTAGCATTCAAACTGTAGGAGTAGTTATCTTGGATAACTATATACCCATAATGGGACAGACAGACGGAAGGACGAAAGGACGGACGGACAGGGGTAAAACAATATGCCCCCCAACTTTCAGTTGCGGGGTCATAAAAATAATGTCTTGCTAGTTGAGATGCTTTATGATTCTAAAGATTCGTAGCTACGTAACAATAGTGTTGCATTACATTACAACAGTGTGCACCAATATCCGGGAAACAATTACATAACATTACGTTCTAAAGTCTCTTGGCTCATATTCACAACAGCTGGTTTTGAAGCTGACACTTTCACATTTGTGTTTAAATTTTCTGAGTACTAATTTAGGTTGTGGAATCTTACCAACCCTAGCTTTGGAATGTAATCTTAGTAAATGTTAAGATATAATAACAAATCCATTTTTAGCCTCCTTTCATGATTATCATTTTTCTTATGCAATCATTTCCTAGTTTAATTTGAGAATATATTTTTTAATCTACAGTAGGCCTGGAAAGTCATTTTACGTGATGGGCTAGGTTTGTTTACCATGTTTACATAGCTAAGGTTTTGGATGTAAATTTTCTAAATAGTTTTGAAATGTTTTCTTTCCTTACTTAATATTGAAAAGTTTTCTTACCTTCAGGTATCAGTACATTATATATATCAATGCAATCTTATTATGAACTTACCTAGTTTATTTTTGGGATGGATATTACTATCAATATCTCCATCTATCTGTAAAACAATATAATAAAGCATTATTAATTCTAATGTCATCTTAAGAGGCTTAGAAATTACTAGGTTACTTACATTAAACAAGAGTGCACACGCTGAAATGCAATAAAGCATTATTAATTCTAATGACATCTTAAGATGCTTAGTAATTACTAGGTTACTTACTTAAACCATTGTGGTGACGTCAGCCTATTCATTTACCGTGGATTCTTTTTCTAGAATCAACACTTCCTAAATCTGCCGCTGAAATTGACTCACCAAATTATATTCAATTGTTTCCTTTGTGTGCCTAATTTCATTAAGTTTGAATTGGCTAATTTACTGATTTCTGTTCACTAATGGAATTAATTTAAAAACTTACCTTTAATTTTTGTAATTTTTATATGCCTTCACTGGGAATCGAACCCTTCCTTGAAATCTGTTATGTGTGATTGACATCAACACATCGACGAAACCTCTCTGCTACCAATGGGTTACACTATAGATGTCTATTTTATATATTTAAATGAACATCTGATATACATCGGTTCATCGGACACACAGGGCTTGTACCTTTATATAGACACAATAGGCAGTCGTATAGTATGAGTTGGTAGCCGCGAGGTTAGCATGGTTAAAATCAATGAGTTAAAGATAGGGATTTGTCGGTTTAGGTTCGAATCCCTGTATTCTCTCTGTTGTTCCAATTCTTAAGTTATCCTGGTTTTATTCTCATTTTGCATGTTATAGTGGATATTTTTGTAATAATAGCGAGTTTAACCGTTTTTTTTTTTATTATTATTGGCTATTTCACATGTTTGAAACAAAAATTATTACATTCTATTTGTCAATTTTTGTTTTATAAACATAGTATGATTTCATCTGTTTTACTACATAATTTTACAAAGGTTTGTTCGCAAATTCCTATGCGAGAAAATCGTGATGTGCCTAGAGTGCTAGAAATATTTCGATAACATACTTATTATATATACTTTATATATGCTTTTTGGTTGGGTTATTGTCTCTTTGACACGTTCCCCATTTCCATTTCAATTTTATTAGAAATAATTTCGAATATGTCTTATTTTGTATAAACAGATAATATTCATATGCCTGGTAATATAAAGATCTTTAAAGGTAGAAGTGTTATATTGGTATTTTGTTAACCAATAAATTGTGATCTGAGATTTATCAATGCATCGTTGGACACGATAACATGGTTATTTAAACTCACTTACAATACCTTCTAATTAAGAAAAGGCTTTAATTTTGAAAAGAAATTAACACAATAGTTTAAGTTATAGATACAATGGATAAGCGTAGATTCATGAAAAACAAACCATTCGCCCTACGGGCTCATGGTTTCTTTTTCAAGAATCCACGCTTATCCATTGTATCTATATAACATAAACAATGATATAATCTGCGTTACTGACCATTGATTTTATGTTGAAAGTCTTAAAGATAAAGGTTTAACTAAAAACATCACAGAAACTCAGGTCAGATAAATGCTGTCAGACAGACATATACACCTTACAATTTTTTTATAAACAAAATATAATTGACCTATTGCTTATACATGTAATTGAAAAACAGACCAAAACAGGAAAAAACTTAACATTGACAAATGAAACATGAAAATGACGTCAAGGTCAGATGATACCTGCCAGACAGACATAAACACCTTAAAACCGTTCCATACACCAAATATAGTTGACCTATTGCTTTGGTACTTGAAAAACAGACCAAACCACAAAAACCTAACATTGACCAATGATCCATGAAAATGAGGTCAAGGTCAGATGATAACTGCCAGACAGACATGTACACCTTACAATCATTCCATACACCAAATATAGTTGACCTGTTGCTTATAGTACTTGAAAAAACAGACCAAAACACAAAAACTTAACATTAACCAATGAACCATGAAAATGAGGTCAAGGTCAAATAAAACCTGCCAGACTGACATGTACCCTTACAGTCATTCCATACATCACATATAGTTGACCTACTGTTTATAGTATTTGAGAAACGGACCTAATCATGTAACTTTAACCTTGATCAGTGATCCATGAAATGAGGTCAAGGTCAGGTGAACCCTGTCTGATGGACACGTAGACGTTGCAAGGAACCCATATACCAAATATGGTTATCCTATTACTCATAACAAGTGAGAAATCCACATGACAAAAAAACTCAATTTTTTTTCAAGCAGTCGCATGAAAATGAGGTCAAAGATATTGGACATATGACAGACGGAAACTTCGTAACATAAGGTATATGCATACAAGATATGAAGCATCCAGGTCTTCTACCTCCTGAAATATTAAGCTTTAAACAAATAGTGTACGCCACCGCAGCCGTCGGATAGTAATACCTATGTTTCGCATACTGTGACTTTCGTCGCAGGCAAGACAATAAAAATTAATTGGAATACATTTTGTCTTTCATTAAGAGGTCAATCGGAGTAAACAACATCATGGAACAATTGGTTCTTACTGTGGCGCATTATCATAAACATTATGACATAGGAAATTTACGGGAAATTGCACAAATTTGAAAGTGGCCTATGTATTAATTGTCCAGAGACAGAGTTGATCATCATTTCCAACCAGCAGTTATATTGATAGCATTCTGTTTTTTTTTCCTTCATGCTTCCTTATCATGGGATTTCTTTGCAGAAACCCAAATTTCTATTGGTTTTTTTTTTAAACTTATCCATTATTTGATTTATAAAGAATAAAGTTAATTTTACTCTGGTAATGAAATGTAAATGTTTATGGATAGAGCATATTTAGGGATCCTTGGGTTAGATCATTTTTTAGTGATAGCACAGAAAGATAAACAAGGGTACTTGTCTTGTCAGTCACTAGTTAGAAGTGGGGCTATAATTCTTTCTTAATGTTTATACAGTCAACACTCATTATTTTCAAATTAAAATAGACTGAAAAATATAATTTTTATATATCGGGAGTAAATATAATGCAAATCTATCAACTGGGACAAACATTTTACTTTGAGATTAAAGGAAATTTGAGATAACAAGAGTGAACTGTATATATACATAATCAAAATTGACAACAACACTTTAAAGAGTCTGCAACCCTGCATACCAAGGTATCCACTCCAGGATTCTCTACCAAAAGTAAACACCGTGGAGTATAATGTATATATACATGTTACACAGTGTTTAAACTAAGTATCATTTCATCATGTCACTATCTGTAATACTTACTTCTGCTGTTATTAAATGACAGGTTGTACCACCAATCCCTGGGTCCAGGCAAGTCACTAAAATAAATATCTTCATTAAAAGATTGGAAAAAATGTATACTTATTTGTTAATGTATGTTGTGTTGATATCTAAATTTGAAATATACTCCCATACTTGTAATTTTTACACAAAAAATTTCATTAAGGGATATATGTAGCTTATAGAATATACATAAGAAATATAAAAACTTTAAAAATTTGTGTGAGCACTTTCTGCCATACTTGATCATACTTGGTTCTTCAGACAGTATACAACAATGTTACTAACAACAATTGACCTTCGGGACATTGTGGTCATGGTAACAAAGGGTAACATTATCTTATGATTTATAGTTTATAAAACAAATAATTTTCTGTTAAGTTTTGTCTTGTATAGAAATATAATAACAGCAGTAATTTGGTTCATATACAAATCATCAGAGGAGAATGACAGCAAATAATAATATTTAAATATTTCTAACCATGAGCAGGAAATGCTTACCCTTCCGCAGCACAGGAGATACTCCCCGGTTTTTGGTGGGGTTTGTGTTGCTCAGTCTTTTGTGTTTTTATGTAGTGTTTTGACTAGACTGTTATGTGCCATGTTAAAACCCTGGTTAATATTAAGGCAGTGTGGTGAATCTTTTTTTTTCTTCAAATATATGATTTATACAAACATAGTTTACAGGTTTGTCTAGATGATGCATGTATTGATAAGTGTCTGAGTCATTCTAATACCTATAAAAAATGCACTTTCAAAAAGATGTACTATAGAGAACTAAGCATCAATATGATCTGGATCAATTAGGCTTTGTTCAGGTAAGAGAATCATATGGCAAGCCATTTTACTATTTATTCAAATTTCAAGATATCTCATATAATATATAAGATAATCTCATTTAATCTAGTTTTTATAAAATATCTTATAAACTTTATAAGATATCTCGTATACTTAATAAGATATCTTATAAACTTTATAAGATATCTTATATACTTTATAAGATATCTTATATACTTTATAAGATATCTTTTAAAGTTTATAAGATATCTCATAAAGTATATAAGATATCTTGAATATATATTTTTTATATAAGATATCTTATATACTTTATAAGATATCTTATATAGTTTATAAGATATCTTATATAGTTTATAAGATATCTTATAAAGTATATAAAATATCTTATAAATATTGTTTATATAAGATATCTTATATACTAATTAGATATCACATATATTTTATAAGATATTCTATATAGTTTATAAGATATTTCATATAGTTTATAAGATATCTCATATAATTTATAAGATATCTTATAAAGAAAATAATATGAGATATCTTATAAACTATATAATATATCTTATAAACTATAAAAGATATCTTATAAACTATATGTGATATCTTATAAAGTTGATTAGATATCTTGAAGTTAGAATAAATAGCAAAACAGCTTGCCATAGAATCACGAAAAAAAGAATATCAAATATAATTTTTTTGTTGAACCACAGATAGCTTTATAACAAGATTTTAATAAAATGTTAAAGTGAAATCAATTATCATGATCATGGTCAATTTTTCTTAAATAGGTTAAGCAGTTTTGGAGAAAATTTATTTTAATATGTAATAGCTGGTATAATAGGAATGCCTTATATTATTCAGTCTAAGCTGACAAATTTCTTTATAATAACAACAGCTTTTCAAGAATCTTTCAAGTGAAGGCACTGGTTTTCAGTAAATACCTGGTGATTCATGTTTTAATATTCCAGTGTAACCCGTTTCTTCCTTCAATTCTCTGATGCCACATGTTGCTGCTGTCTCGGATGGATCAATCAATCCTGAAAATAAACAATCTTTATCAATACTATATATAAAATAAAACATGTAACAATAATTTGATTTTTAAATGGTGATACACATGATTCCTAATATTGAAGAAACTATTGATGTCAAAAATACTTTAACCCAGACTGTATCTAAATATTACATGTATCTGCAAAAAAAATCCATCTATCAAAAAGTAATGAAAAATGAAACTAGAGGCTCCAAGGAGCCTATGTCGCTCACCTGATATTCTTGTTTACAATTGATGCATGAAATAATGCAACTATTATACTTTTGCTTTAGTTTCAGAGGTATAAGCCAAAAAACTGCATTTTACCCCTATGTTCTATTTTTAGCCATGTCGGCCATGTTGGTTGGCAGGCGGGATCATCGGACATATTTTTTAAACTAGATACCCTAATGATGATTGTGGTCAAGTTTGGTTAAATTTGTCTGAGTAGTTTCAGAGGAGAAGATACATTACCATTACATCATATTTGAATCGTAACAGTGCACTATAATTGTCTAAGCGTTTAGAAAATTGCACAAAGAGAAATGTCATAAGATGTGGGAACGTTTTCGTGATTAATTCATCACCATATTTTCAACATATGCTATTAGAAAGACGTTTTTCGTGTCAATACAAATCAAACACTATCCAGTTACGATTATCTTCTTATTTATTAATACCGAAATTACGATTATCATTTTTGCGAGTTACGATTATCATCCCCAATTTTTCGACAGCAATTTTCTAGACGCTTAGACAATTATAGTGCACTGTTACGATTCAAATATGATGTAATCGTATAGAAAAACCTTGCAGCTGAGTAACTCTTGACAACAACGGGCAACATTTGAGAAAAATGACTGAAAAGATTTTACCTCTTTCTGCCGTCGCCATATTGGGATCGTCGTAATTCCAGTTACTATTATCAGTTTAACACCAGTGATAGATTCGGCATATCAAATACCCCCAAGAATTCAATTTTTGATGAAATCAAACAAAGTTTAATTTTGGACCCTTTTGACCTCAATGTGGACAAAGTTGATAACGGGGCCCAAAAATCAAAAATCTAAATACATGGTTAGATTCAGCATATCAAAGAACCCCATATATTCAATTTTTGTTGAAATCAAAACAAAGTTTAATTTTGGACCCCCATTTGGACCAACTTGAAAACTGGGCCCATAATCAAAAATCTAAATTCATGTTTAGATTCAGCATATCAAAGAACCCTAAGAATTCAGTTTTTGTTAAAATCAAACTAAGTTTAATTTTGGACCCTTTGGACCTTAATGTAGACCAATTTGAAAACGGAACCAAAAATTAAGAATCTAAATACACGGTTAGATTCGGCATATCAAAAAACCCCAATAATTCAATTTTTGATGAAATCAAACAAAGTTTAATTTTGGACCCTTTGGACCTCAATGTGAACCAATTTAAAAACGGGGCCCAAAATCCAAAAACTTAATACACGGTTAGATTCAGCATATTAAAGAACCCCAAGAATTCAAAAATAAAACCCCATTGGTCAAGAAATAAGCAATTTATACGAAGTATCTTCTTTTGCACAATACTGTGCAATTGAATATTTCTTGCTATTGCGCAATACTGTACAATTGACAATTTCTTGCTATTGCGCAATATTGTGCTATTGGATATTTCTTGCTATTGCGCAATACTGTGCAATTGAAGATTTCTTGCTATTGCGCAATACTGTGCAATTGAAGATTTCTTGCTATTGTGCAATACTGTGCAATTGAAAATTTCTTGCTATTGCACAATACTTATTATATAATAATTTACACATCCTGTTTGGTGTGCATCTCCTTCCATATCATTATTATTTGCTTTTAAATATAAATCAGAAATAACCAACTTAAAATGGTTTTTGTGGTATGGTACCTTGCAGTACAATTTCAGAAAGATCCATACATTTGAACACAAGTTATTGTCTGGAAACTAGAAAAATGTGTTTTTTGGCACCTTTTTGGCCCCAAATTCCTACACGTTTAGGGCAATTACCCCCAAACTCAAACCCAGCTTTCCCTTTGTGATATGGAACCTTGTAGTACAATTTCAGAAAGATCCATACACTTACACACAAGTTATTGTCCTGAAACTAGAAAAATGCTTTTTTGCCCCTTTTTGGCCCCTAATTCCTAAAATATTGAGGCAATTACCCCCATCATCAATCCCAGCCTTCCCTTTGTGGTATGGTACCTTGCAGTACAATTTCAGAGAGATCCATACACTTGAACACAAGTTATTGTCTGGAAACTAGAAAAATGCTTATTTTTGGCCCCTTTTTGGCCCCCAATTCCTAAACGTTTTGGGCAATTACCCCCAAACTCAATTCCAGCTTTCCCTTTGTGATATGGAACCTTGTAGTACAATTTCAGAAATATCCAAACACTTACACACAAGTTATTGTCATGAAACTAGAAAAATGCTTGTTTTTTGCCCCTTTTTTGGCCCCTTATTCCTAAAATTTTGAGGCAATTACCCCCAAAAATCAATTCCAGCCTTCCCTTTGTGATATGGAACCTTGTGGTACAATGTCAGAGAGATCCATACACTTACACACAAGTTATTGTCTGGAAGTTACAACAATGCTTATTTTTTGCCCCTAATTCCTTAACTGTTGGTACGAAAGTGCGAAAACTTATGTGTCTTAGGACGACGACGCCAACGTCATACCAATATATGACCGCAAAATTTTTGCGGTCGTATAAAAACTAAACATTTTTTTCAAGTAGTCGCTGAACAATGAAAATAAGGACATATGACAGATGGAAACTTCATAACATAAGGCATTTGCATACAAGGTATGAAGCATTCAAGTCTTCTTCCTTCTAAATTATAATGTTTTATACAAATAGTTTACATCATTGTTGCTGCTGCCACCAGATTGTAATTCCTGTGTCTCACATTCTGAGACTTTCGTCGCAGGTCAGGCAATGTGCAAACGAGACAACTATCCATTAGAGTCCATTATTTTCAAATATAATTAACTATTGAGTAGTAAAAAAATAAATCCATTTTTATTTTTTGTATTCCCTCTGCAATTAGTTAATGTTTCTATAATATAGATATATAGTTACCAGCAGGGAATTCCAGTGTGTAACATTTCATTGGTGGTCTGTACTGTTTGACAAGTACTAAACAATCATATTTCAACATCCTTTTAAGTATTGCTATCACACATACAGCTGTTAAATAAAATACATGTACCTTGAAATAATACTCATTCCATCAAATCATGGTTAACAATACAACAAATAACATGTTTCTCAAAATTTGTAAATTTTAAGAAAAATTAAGTTTTAACAGCCAATATTTTCCCAAATTATAACAAAACTATTATAACAAAACTAGAGGTGCTTTAGAGCCTGTTTCGCTCACCTGCATCTTCAACAGTGGCCACTATTTGATAAAAATCTTCAATAGCAATAACTCTATTAAGAGTTAAATGACAATTTCAATCATGTTGACATATTTATAGATCTTCTCCTGTTGCTTATTTTTGCTTTTTTATGTTTCTATCTACATTTGTATCTATTATACTTTTCAAGATAATAGGCAAAAACTCAAAAAATGATAAAAACATCTTTACAGGGGAATAACTCCAATAACGGGTCAACTAAAGGTTTAAGCCATGATGGCTCATTTGTAGATCTTGTCTTGCTGATCATTTTTGCTATTTAAAGTTTCTATCTATCTATTATATTTTTAAGATATGAGGTAAAACACAAAAAAAAATGGTAAAAATTGTCATTAAAGAACAATAACAATAAGGAGTCTTCTGACTATTTCAGCCATGTTAACTTATTTGTAGATCTGGTCTTGCTCATAATATTTCCTTATAACAATTTCTCTGTATCAATGTAAAGTTTTCAAAATAATAGACAAAAACAAAATAAGTTATAAAATTTTGACTTTTAAGGGCAATAACTGCTATAAGAAGTCGTCTGACAGTTTTGACCTAATCTGACAGCAGGTAGATCTCAACATTCTGAACATATCTGCCCATGTCAGATTTTCTCTATTTGTAGCGGTTTTCAAAATAATAGACAAAACTTAAATTTTACCCCTATGTTCTATTTTTAGCCATGTCTGCCATTTTGGTTGGCAGGTGGGGTCATCCGACACACTTTTTAAACTAGATACCCCCAATGATGATTGTGGCCAAGTTTGGTTAAATTTGGCCCAGTAGTTTCAGAGGAGAGAAGATTTTTGTAAAAGTTGACAACAAAGGACAATGATGACAGAAAACAAGTGATGAGAAAAGCTCACTTGGCCTTTTAGCCAGGTGAGCTAAAAATCAATTTTTCTCATAGGGAATCAATTTTGAATAGCATTACATAACCTGGGATTTGTGTACGAAAAAATGATCAAAATTTGTGGTTAACGAAAACTTAGTTTTTACCCTAATTTTTGTCCAAAATTCACAAAAATAATCCTTTCTGCATTAACACTGTGTTTAAAAATTATGGAAAATCGGTTGAGGCAATCTTGACTTTATATGACTTATAAATAGAAGTGCTCATGGACAGACAGACAGACTGATGAATAGACAGAGTCACACTGAGTTGTTATTATAGGACGCTGCCGACTAGTTATTTCAGCTGATCTTTTTACGTGTAGTCATTTATTCTGGATCAATTCAAATTATTTTCCAGTTTGCTTGGAAAAATGTTTAACAAATCATGAAATAAATTAATTACTATATAAAAAATTATATTAAAATTTTCAGTTTGACAAATTTGTGTTCTACAAAATGCAGCTGCAAAAACCAAGTTCTATTATTCAGAAAAAGTTGTGATGTTTTTATTACTTGAATAGAATAAGAATCTCATTATCTAAAATATCATATTAAATCATTTTTCATTACGGTAAAAGGTTCATAAGTACCATCTGATCCTGTCTGTGAAGTTGTCCTAGACACAGCTTCCCAAGTTCTAGAAATAGAAATTATCTTGCATGATATGTCAAGAAATGTTAATATAAAAATAAGAAGATGTGGTATGATTGCCAATAAGACAACTTTCCACAAGAGACCAAATGACATAGAAATTAACAACTATAGGTCACTGTAGGGCCTTCAACAATGAGCAAAACCCATACCGCATAGTTAGCTTTAAAAGGCCCTGAAATGGCAAATGTAAAATAATTCAAACAAGAAAACTAAAGGCCTGATTTATGTACAAAATAATGAACGAAAAACAAATATGATATTCAGCAACACTCGACAACCGCTGAATTAAAGGCTTCTGCCTTGGGACAGGCACATACAGAATGTGGTAGGGTTAAATTATTTTGAAGACACCAACCCTCCCCTTAACCTGGGACAGTGGTGTAACTGAACAACATAAGAACAAACTATAAATATTAGACAAAAAGGGCTTAACTCATCAGATCAATACAAAGCAGAAAGACATAACAAAAACACAGACCGGACGTGGCAGGGTATTTATACATCCCTGTAACAAAAAAGACACTACATACAGATCTGAGAGTACTCGCAGTTACTGACAACGAGTAGTTCAAAGCTAAAAACAACTGATAAAAAATAATACATCTAAGACTAAAATATCAATCAGTACACATCCAACATCCAATGGATTTAGTGTAAAGACGTCATTAACAGTCAGAGAAAAACATGACATTATGCAATGCCATGATACAGGTATCGACTGATTGTAGAGCCATTATGTGTATATGTATATAAAAATAATATTTAGTTTGATTTCAATTTACTGATAACAAAATCAAAATTAATACCAATAAAAACAATAATCAAAGACCTAACTAGACATAATTGAGATGGGAGCCATCTCTGTGGGCCCCGCTGTAAATAACAGTTGTCAACTGAAACCAAAGTTTTTGACCTTGACCTTTGACCTAGGAAGTTGTACAAACATTATGACACACCCTCTGGTGTTGGTTAATATACAGGTCAAGTATAAAATATGAAATAATAACGGTTCTCTAGATATAGAGCTGACTTAATTTGTTACGGACGGACGGACAGACTGATTACTATAGGGCAACCCGCCACAAGGCAGGGCCCTAATTACAGTGTTGAATTGGTTACCTTTTAGAATAAGTTTATTTAAAGGCTCGAAAAGTTTACCCGGATAGTATCTAAATTTATGGGCCTGGTAACAAAATTTCCGTAAAAATTAGGGTGTGCTTTCCTGTTTGAAATAAGTCTTCTACAGGTACGAACCAAACTTCCAAACCAAATCTTTGTATCTATGGAAGAATTAAGTAAAGGTTTTAAATAATTTGTGGTAACTAAATCCCTGACTTAATAATTTACCAGTAATTCATAGATTACATTCATTGAAATCCAAAACATCACAACAGACACAGGCATAGGGAACGAGTTGTGATATATAAACACCGTGCCAACGGAACATCACTGTCAAAAAAAGAAAAATAAACAATAGGGAACTAAAAATCGTCCCTTTTGTCGTAAATTTTTGTGTAGAGTTTCCCTGTGTAAAACTGAAATATCAAAATCTATGAAAGGGCAGTTATTACCGTTTATATTTGACTTTTTAAAGTAAGTTCCTTTGGGTAAATTTTGGCAGTATATTTAGAAAATTCTTGATTATTTAACGAGAAATATCATCAAGATAACGATAAGTGTTGTTGAATTTATCAATTAAATGCAATTTAGATGGGTCTTCACTGAGTTTGGTCATAAACTGTGATTCATAACAGTACAAGAACAAGTCTGCTATTAAAGGGGTGCAATTTGTGCCCATAGGAATACCTATAAGTTTGTTTTCATTAAGAACGAGAGTGATGGACTTGCAGATAGCAGATACAGTGCTATATTTATCTCATTCACCAGTTTTCCAATGATTTGCCTTTATTTCTGTTTCATATTGCAGATATCAATGGTCCAAAATTACACTTTCCATCAAATCATGTGTTCCAACACAGATGATTTTGGCATATTTCAACCTTTCTGATTGTATAGCCTACCATAATAAAGCTTAATCTTGGATTTATTGATATATGTTTTCAAATGACTTGATAGTATATACCAAGGATTTGTATAGTTAAGATTATACAAATCCTTGATAGTATGTGAATCTGTTTTTATCTTATAACTTAAGTAGCAGAGTAAGGTTTTTAATCACCACCAAAAATATCATTCCAGGAAGGTATGGTAGGTCTTTGTCAAGTAAATGGACAAAAATGTATAAGCTAAATTTTACATATCAGGCTTTTTTTTCTGATATGATTAATATTCTATCCTGTAAATTCAGAAATTATTGTGTACGATTTTTGAAGAATGGACAAAAATGTGAGATTTATTATTGCGATTTCAAGAAAACCTGCATAAAAATATTTGTATCAGATACCAGAATGTGAGTTCTATCCTAATCCAGTTGCATTATTCACATTAATAAAAAATTTGCAATAATTTCTGAACCTACAGTATATCATAACAACTCTACTGTCTAACATTGTAACAATTGTCCTTCTAGATATAGATACATTAATAGATAACCATGCATGTTTATAGATGAAAGGGATGAATGAAGTTATACTGTAAAACTTCACTCGTAGTTTTAAGATTTACCTTTCCTTTCCAGTAGGGTCTGTGTATGTGATCTGATTGAGTGACAACCATTTCCCACGTGAAACCTCCTGAAAGAAAGTAATCAATGTAAACTTCAAGACAAGTTACTTTCATAAACTCTTTTCCTGTTTAGAAACACCCTTATATATGGTAAGCAAGAGTGCACATGCTGATACTTCTTGCCTGCTTTACTGACCATTGATTTTATGTTGATAGTCCTAAATATAAAGTTTTACTACAAGTATCACATAAGCTTAAAATGATCAAAGAAAATGAGGTCAAGGTCAGATAAACCAAGCCAGAAATACATGTACACCTTACAATCATTTCATACATCAAATATGGTTGACTTATTGCTTATAGTATACAAGGAACAGACCAAACCATGAAAACTTTATGTTGACCAATGAACCATGAAAATGATTTCAAGGTCAGATGAACCCTGCATAACAGACATGTATACCTTACAATCATTCCATGGTTTAAATATAGTTGACCTATTGCTTATAGTGTAAGAAAAACAGATCAAAACACAAAAACTTAACATTGAGCAATGAACCTTAAAATAAGTTCAAGGTTAAATAAAACCTGCCAGACTGACATGTACATCGTAAAATATTCCATACACCAAATATAGTTGTCCTATTGCTTATAATGTAAGATAACAGATAAAAATACAAAAACTTAACATTGAACAATGAACCTTAAAATAAGTTCAAGGTTAAATAAAACCTGCCAGACTGACATGTACATCGTAAAATATTCCATACACCAAATATAGTTGTCCTATTGCATACAGCATGTACAGTATTAGAAAAACAGACAAAAACACAAAAACTTAACTTTAACCACTTTACCATGAAAATGAGGTCAAGGTCAGATGACACCTGCCAGTTGGACACAAATACCTTTCATAACATAAGCATCTATATACAAAGTATGAAGCATCCAGATCTTCAACATTCTGAAATATTAAGCTTTTGAAAGTAGTTAGTTAACGCCCCCACCGCCAGATAACTATCCTTATGTCTCGCTTTCTGCGACAAAAGTCGCAGGCTGGTCAAAAATGATCGAAAGTCTAACACTTGCATTTATTGATTCTAATGCAGCTTTATAGTAATACTTTTCATCGTTAGCTACTGTTGACATGTAAATTTACTATGGGTTTACTTTCACTTGTTGATAATAAAATGGGAAAAAAATTCACATTGAGGTTAAATAGATATATTCAGCATGGAACTTCAGTCCTGTCTTATGACTTTTAAACAAACTCAGTCTTAACAAGCAACAATATAATTTTCAGTTCTTTAGATTTAAGGAAGACAAAGAACAGTGTGAGGAAGCTTAACGAAATGTCAAGATTTTCTTTTTTCAGAGCAAACAGCAAAATATTATGAGGGTTTTAAGAAGAACATCTGTATCAGGCTTAAGATCTCTCAACTTTAAATCAAACAATTGAGCAGGTGGTGCAATGTTACTTTGTTAAAAATTTCTCTTTAAGTAAAAAAATAATATATGCAAACCTTTTTTGAATGTGACTAGTGTATTTTTTTCAAATTCTTTAGCCATAAACTGGTGGTAATATATCAATTTGTTGTTGCATTTTTTTCCCCTTTATTTTGTGTCTTGGGAAGTTATGCAAGATGATGTGACATAACTTTAAAAAAGAAAAGTTCAAGTTTTCAGTCAAAGCAATTTCAAAGCTTGCTTTAAAATACAAATTTCTAATGTAAGTGACAAAATTTTTGATCAATTGAGTTTAAGAAAAGGAAGAAGACCTTCAGTATTTATAGGCAGACTGATGAGGTGATTGTTTTATCTGTCATGTCTTCTTGATAATAAATAGTAAAATGTGACAAAACGAAACTTCTATATAATGTCAAATCAAATTTGGCACACTGCTGGTAACCTGCCATTTTCACTTGTTATAATTCTTTTCTGTTTGATTCTGATTTCTGATTTTTTAAGGATCAAAAGGAATTATTTGTGTGTGTGGTCATAACGTAATCACTTTATAATGTCCTTGACATTTTGAGACAAAGCAGTAACAAAACTTGGTTATTTATAAATTTCAAAATCTTTATTCCTCTTTAGAACAGAAGATGCTGTTTTCAAGTGACACAAACCCTTGAAGGATATAAATCTTCTTGTCTACTTTCATACACACAATAGTAACCTCTGATAAGAACACATGATCAATAGTCTGAACTAGAGGCTCTTAAGAGCCTGTGTTGCTCACCTAGGTCACTCAATGTACATCTTCAACAATGGACACTCTCCAACATTGTGGACTAGTATAAAATTAATGACAAAAATCTATTTTTTGTTAATCTTGTGTTGCTGATCATTTTTTTTTCTCTCTATCTTCTTTAGTTTTCAAGATAATAGTCAAAAACACAAAAAAAGTGGTTAATATCATCCTTAAAGAGCAAGCACTCCAAAAAGAAGTCATTTGATGATTTTAGCCTTGTTGACTTTTTTGTAGATTTTGTCTTGCTAAGTCATTTTTGCTTTATTTAAGTTTCTAGCTATCTATTATAATTTTTAAGATACAAGGCAAAAACGCCACAAAATGGTAAAAATCATCATTAAAGGGCAACAACTCTAATAAGGAGTGTTCAGACGATTTCCTCCATATGACTCAATTGTAGATCTTGTCTTGCAGACAATTTTTGCTTATTTCAGTTTCTACCTATCTATTATAATTTTTAAGATATATTAAAGGCAAAAACTCCAAAAAATGGTACAAATCGTCATTAAAGGGAAAAAAATTCAATAAGGAGTCGTCTGACTATTACCTATGACCTAATTGTAGATCTAAATGTCTTGCTAACCATTTTTGTTTTTGTAAATTCCTATCTATTATAGTTTTTGAGATATTAGGTAAAAATGCAAAACATTGGTAAAACCCGTCATTTAAGGGCAATAACTCCTATAAGTTGTCTGACAGTTTTTTTCATTTAGCTGATATTTTCATTAGTCAGTGGCGGATCCAGAAATTTTCATAAGTGGGGCCCACTGACTGCCTAAGAGGGGCCAGCTCCAGTCATGCTTCAGTGATTCCCTATATAAACCAAATTTTTTCCACAAAAGGGCCCCCCCCCCCCCCTCCGCCTCTGTAAGTGACATTATAACTGGTACTGATACACATCAAATATCACACTATAAAGAACAATATACTTGAGACACACTTTTATAACAGTCTATCTATGATGCTTTACCTCAACTTTTAGTGAACCCTTTATACATGTTATACATGTGTGCTACTTTTAATATCTTATTGCAGATTTTGTTAAACACTATAAGAAAAATTGTGAATGACCTGATATTGCACTGGCACTTGATAAGTAGTGTAGACTCTCTTTTGGTTGATACATATATTAAAGGTGTAGCCATGCCTCCCTTGACTCAGTAGATTTTATAACCACCCTCCACTCCAACAGCTGTGCTAGTCAAAAACACCTTTAGCTATAAAGTCATGTCAGTTTGTAGAGCAGTGGCATACATGAGCAGTAACTGTGCCTAGACTCTCGGGTTCTATCTATGACAGACACCAGAGACATAATAATACATATATGTCTCTGCAGACACTAAGTGATAATTTCAGAAAGAGAACCATGCTCAACTTTTATAGCTTATTACACAGTAAGTTTTTTGCTCAATTGTTGCTGTAGTACATGTGCAGTGCCTTATAGTTGTTTACATCTTCATTCTTTGGTGTCTATATGTCGTATATGTAGTCAGATTATATGTCTCTGATGTAGTTAAAAGATATTTCTGAAACTATTATATAATCTTATCCATTTTATTTTAACTAGTTATCTTAATTTTAGATATATATGTTAATGTGTTACTGTGTCCCTTCAGGTCCCATGATTGGAAAAATATATTAGTCCCAGGAGATGAAGAGATGAGCCTCCTCATGGGGTTTTTGATTATGTGATTACCTGGCCGTTTTTATAGTGATTATTTGATTATACCAGTCCAAATATTTCATGATTATTTGGTAATCTAGGACTGTATTTTTGATTATTTGATTATCTTGTTTAAAAAAATAATTAATGATTATGTGATTATATTGGCAAAAAAATTGTGATTAGGTGATTACTCGGACACCCCCATGAGGGGCCTCAGAGATGATCAGAGAATTTGGCTGGGCTTCGACGAGGGACTAACAGTCAAATAACTAACAGACTAGAGTAGATCAGAGTACATGTACCTCCTCTTTCACAAAACGACTCTGGCGGATTTCATTATTGTCAGTCATTTTCTTTCTTACAACTGCAGATACTGAGATATTACGAACTTTAGTAGAACTCTTAAAATGTCTATTGAGTATTTTGGCATGTATTTGTTTTAAAACATAAGCTACTGAAATCGAAACATGTTGTTGATAAACAATCATGACAATTGTGTAATATGAAAAACCTAGATAGAGTCCGAAAGAAAAAGTAAAAGTTGCGGGAAATTTAATTTCGGTTTGTAAGTAAAGATGTAAAGGCAGGAGAAATAAAAGCAAGAATTAGTACTCAAAGTTGAAACGTACATTTTACAAGCCAAAAGAGCTAAGTTCGATCCGAAAGTTAACCCGATATGTACAATCTGTGAACAGGAAAATGAAGATCTAGAACATTTTATTCTACGCTGCAAAGAATTGGAGCAAATTAGATCTAAATATTGCTCAAAAATAGAACAGACAATGGATGAAATTGATACCTCAACATACAAGAAGATCGTCATAATGGACTGTACTAGCAAGGACATAAACTGTTACTCAACTGTGTATGAAAACATTGAAACTCTGGCTAGAAATATGTGCTACGAGATGCACATGCTGCGCACAAAAAGGATAAAAAACTTGAACACAATTACAGTATAAGTAAACTTTTTTAAAATAAAATAGTTCCCTACTTTACCATCTTACTATTTTATGACTTATTCAGACTAAGGACCTAAATTAAATAAAAAAAATTTTGCAAAGTTTTAAGATATCCAGTTACCTTTAAAGAATAATGATAAGATCCGAAATAAGGTAACTTTAAACTGAAGGAAAACTTATGTATATATGATGAATTGTTCTAAACCCCAACCCTTTTACATAAGTCTTATAAAATAACCTTCTCATTATATTTAATTCTGATGTACGTATAGCACCTTTAACTAACAATTATAAGAAAGTTTAATTTAAGACCACTTAAATTCTAAATTCTTATTTGTAAATATATCCAGTTCTTACTTAACTTATTCTTACACCTCAGCACATTATGAATATTATTTTTAAAATTTTATGATGACAGTCCTTATGAATTAGTTATAATATTAATTATTTAGTAATTATTATTGCCTAAATTCAGTCATCTGTACATAATTAAATGTTTCCTTATGTTCTAAGGTGTATATAGTTGCTACAATTATACCCTATGGGTAGTGCTCCACAATTAATGGAGGAATATACAAGAAACTGTAACTGTAGTAATAATAATAAAAAAATAATAATAAATTCTTTATTTAAAGAGGGTAAACACAGTTAGTTACAATAAAGTAATCTTCCCTGAGGCCCTCACATACAAATTACAATACAATAAAAAAACAGATATTTACACATAATTAATTTACAGTCAAGTTGTTCAATGTATTATTTTTAACATAAGATATAAAGCTGTTCAAGACATGTAGTAAAAAATCAAAAAAAATCAAATAAAAATAAAAAATATACAAATACATTGTCGAAAAAACCGAATCTTATCAGGACTGTTTTAAGTACTTCTTGATACTTTGTTTAAAAGTAAAAGTGTTTTGAGCTTTACGTATTTTGTGTGGTAGTCCATTCCATAACACTGATCCAGAAAAGCAAAAGATTTCTTAAATAACTCAGCTTTTGGCTTAGGAACTATCAGATTACCTCGAGTGACACCTCTCAAGGAGTAAGGATTATTATCTGATTTCAGTTTAAACTTTTGAACTAGGTACAATTTGGTGCTTCCATAGCATACATTTATATAGAAGTAAATATTTGTGGTATTTGATTCTATTGTCAACTGTCATCCACCCAAATTCTTTAAATAAGGGGCTGAGGAGGAGCAGGAGGATTTTGAAAATAAATAACTCAGCCTTGATAATCACAAAAATAAATGGTTTGTTCTGTGGTAGTTTGAAAATAAATAACCTGACTTACAATGTATTGAAAATGAATAACTCGGCAGGTCTTTAAGCCATTTTATAAATGCTATTCGAAGGTATCAGTTGGCACCAGATTCTTCATAAAATTCATCTTTTTTCAAAAAAAAATGCAGGAAACACTTCCCAAATCTTTTAGTAATAAAGGTATAAATATTATTTAAATATACTTGAAATGTCTGAAAATGGGTTTCATTTAACTTGAGGTATATTGGCTCAGGAACACTTACCTCGCTTTTATTACAGGGCTGTAACTACATTGAGGCAAATTCCTTTATGTAGGAAATTTCAAAACCAAAAGCTTGTCTTCATATCAAATTGTTTTCACAGCGAGTGTTTGCAAGAAGCAAGGTCTGTTCTCCCTTGGACGTAGCACCTGTTTTTTTCGGGATCAATGTTTCTTTAAATTTGTCTTTTGTTCATTGATTGCCCTTCTGTATTCTCTTAGTGTTGCATTCCTTTTGTGATTTAGTAATTTTGTTTTCAACATTGATCATGAGTTTTATTCTATTTAAGACTTTTTAGCTAATTTTACAACTTAACTACTTTAAATTGTATCCCAGTTAAGAGCTATGATGATGATGATGATCAAGTTGTAATTGAAATGTGTTATTAAAAATTACTTGACATAGTTATATCACTGATAATCAGCCCCCTCTTAACTTAATTTGAATAAAACCCCATATAATTTACAGGTATAAAAGATTTAAATTCTGCATGCCGAAACAACAACAAAAAACAAAAAAAACATCATTTGTTTTATAGTTTCTTGGGGCCTTCAGCGGCTTTAAAATTTTTTTGCCTCGCTCCGCTCGGCGTAAATATATTTGGCAATACTTTTAAAAGAGGCTAGTCACAGCCCAACTCTAATACCGTGTATGTATGCAATCCATGTATATGCAGTTTGGAATTCAGAAGATTCATTTCCGCAGAGGATGCTGATTAATTCTGATTAAATGGTACATTAATGACTTGACTATACATGTATTATAATAAAAAATGAATTTAAAAATTGTATGTTTTCAAATATTATTAATATAGTTGTGAAAATAAATAATCAGTCCCTTGTTTTAATGAAAATGAAAAATCTTGCTTCAACAGTGCAGAAAATAAATAACCGATCCAAAACAAATCCTCTTCACAATTTTCAATGCATAAGGGAAGGTCGTTTATAAATAACACAAACAAAAGAGGACCAAGTATAGAACCTTGGGGGACACCAAATTTTACATGTTGTTGTTCAGAATAAACATTACAAATGTTTACCTGCTGTTTTCTGTTATTCAGGTATGACTTGAAAAAACTAACAGTAGCCTCACTAAATCCATAAATTTCAAGCTTTAAACAAAGAATGTCATGATCTACCAAATCAAAAGCTTTTTTAAAATCTAATAAAATTGCTAGGTTTAAATTACCATCATTCATTTCTTGCAACCATTTGTCAATGATATTAATAAGTGCAGTTTGACAAGAATGCTGCGGCCTGAAACCAGATTGTGTAGGATGGTAAAGTTTAAGTTTAGATAAGTATTTGTACATTTTATTAGAAACATGTCTTTCTATTAATTTTGATAAAGATGGAAGAACAGATATAGGTCTGTAATTTGTTGCTAAAAGCTTGTCACCATCCTTGAAAACTGGTGTTACCTTAGCATTCTTCAGTAAAGAAGAATATATACCAGTATCTATCATTCTGTTAAATATATATGTGAGAGGTGATGCAATAAAAGGGGCACTTACGTAATCTTAGGATTTTTGGTCCAATATTATCCATACCAGATGATTTGTTTATATCAAGTTTTGTTAACTCATTGAATAGCTCATTCATGATAACTGGTGGTAATCAGGCCTATTCGGTAAATTTTTATTTTAACTTAAAATTGAGAATGGAAATGGGGAATGTGAAATTGAGAATGGAAATGGGGAATGTGTCAAAGAGACAACAACCCGACCATAAAGCAGACAACAGCTGAAGTCCACCAATGGGTCTATAACACATGTGTTCTTGGATGTTCTTTAATCACAAAGCAGGAGATAAAAGCGATCCTAGTAATTATAGAGGTGTCTCCTTAATAGATTGTCTACCAAAATTATTTAATGCTATCTTAAATGAAAGACTTATAAAAAAAAATGGAAGCTGCTGTCAGTAAAAGTCAATTTAGTTTTTGTAAAAATCATAGGACTTCTGACAGTGTCTTTGTATTAAAATCATTAATAAATAAATATTTACATAAAAATAAAAAGAAAATATATGCATGCTTTGTAGATCTAAGGAAGGCCTTTGACTCCGTATGGAGAAAAGCCCTCCTTTATAAACTTTATAACCTAGGAGTTGGTAAAAATTTTTATAATATTATTAAACAACAATATATTAACACTAAATCGGCTACCAAAGTGCAGAATCAGCACTCAGACTTTTTTGAAATATCAAGAGGGGTGAAACAAGGAGATTCTTTAAGCCCCACTTTGTTTAATCTTTTTATAAATGATATTGAAAGTGAACTCTCAAAAAATGATAATTATCCTTTAAAATTAGTTTCTTCTGAGGTAAATTGTCTTATGTTTGCAGATGATCTACTTATACTTTCAGAAAATAAACAAGGTTTGCAAAATAGCTTAAATAATTTAGAAGAATATTGTGACACCTGGCAACTTACACTAAATGTTAACAAAACTAAAACTATGATTGTGCAAAACAAAAACATTAAATTAGAACAATCTTTTGTTAAATATAAAGATATAAATTTGATAAATGTTTCAGAATATAAATTTTTAGGTATTCTTATTAAAAGTAATGGCAATTTTAATCATAGCTCTGAAGAACTAGTAAAAAAGGCGAAAAAGGTAATGTTTGCTATTAAATCCTATACTGGTTCTTTAAATAATATCCCTATTAAAGTAGCATGTAGTTTGTTCAATACTATGGTGGAACCAATTGCTACATATAACTCAGAGGTTACTTTTATGGATACATATATAACATTATATAGAGCTGTCCAGAGGGCAAATGTATCCCATAAAGAAATCGCCTTTCTTGATTTTATTGATAAAACTTGTTTTGAAAAACTTCATTTATCATTTTGTAAATATATTTTGGGAACACGAAAAAATGCATCAAATTTAGCAGTTAGAAAAGAATTAAGTCGCTATCCATTAGAATTAAAAATAAAGGTCCAAAGTTTACTATATTTAACAAGACTTCTAAATAATTGTATAAATCCCTAGGGTATTATATGAGGCTTTCACTCT